CTCAAAATTATAAAATGACAATGTCAACAGCATATAAAGAAAATTTGTATAAGATGTTTTACAGGTGGCATTTTCCCCTGACAAGAATAACAAGAATGTTCAAGAACAAATCTGAAAATGTTGGAAATGTCGTCAGACACCTGGCTCATATTACCATATGTGGTGGATTTGTGCAGATGCCAAAAAATATTGGACTAAAATGCACACATGGTTGGAAAAAATGACAAAAAAGCATATAGACTTGAAACCAGATATATTTTTATTGGGAATTTTACCTGAAATATATAGTAAAGAATTGAAATACCTGATTGTAAATGTATTAACAGCGGCTAGGATTGTATTTGCCAAAAACTGGAAAAATGATAAAATACCATTACAGGAGGAAATAATTAAGAAAATATTGGAATGTGCTGAAATGAGTAGATTGACATTTGAAATCAGAGAACAAGATGATAAACAATTTTATAAAATTTGGGATCTATTCTATCAATGGTTAGACAATAAAACATAGTAATGAAATATGTAGATTCTTAGAAAATAATAAATATATAAAGATGTATTCTTTTCTTATTATATCTACAAAATGATTATAGGATAGATATGAAGTGATAATACGAACTGTCATAAAACAAATTAAGTAAAATATGGATTATTTCATAAAACATGAATGAATAAAAGTATAGTCAAATGATTGATTAACAATGATATTAATGTATTTAATACTTGATTGAAAATATGAGAATATATACAATGTAATTGTAATTGAAAACTACGAAATGGAAGCACAAAACAATTTGTAAACCAACCAACACACTGTATGTATATATATGGAAGATGGCTTGATGTTTTTATGTTTTGTTTGTCTATGTTTGTCTTAAAAATCAATTTAAAAAAAGAAAGAAAGAAAGCAATCGTGGAGGATTCTCGTGGTAAGAATCTGATTGCTTTCTGCAAAGAGAATATGTTGCATCTCCGTATGGTCTGAAAATGGAGAGCTGAGTACCTCAGTCAACAGGTGCAGAAGGGAAATGCCAAGAAGCGCAGGTGTGGATCAGGTCAGCATCCATTATATCCTGAACTTGAAGACACCATCTCTCAATATTGCTGACAGGAAAGCAAAGGCTTTGGTTGTACGCAGGGCTGATATTCAAGCATTTGCCCTTGCAATGGCATCACAGTTTTAAATTACCCAGGGAGAATTCAAAGCCTCTCATCGCTGGCTGGATGGCTTCCTTCAGCGATATGAATTGTCTCTGAGGAGATTCACCTCTCTCTTCAAGCTAGAAGATGCTGAAATTGTCAAACGGGCACTTGTTTTTAAATAATTTGTTGACGCCACTGATTTCTCCAAATATAATGTCTCTCACATGATTGCAATGGATGAGACTGCAGTTTTTATGGGCCAAGAGGCTCAAACAACAATTGATAAGAGGGGTGCCTCGTCAATTTACATTCCATCAACTGGATATGAAAGCGCATGTATTACATGCATCTTGGCCATTCGCCTGGATGGGACAAAAGTAGCACCTCTTGTCATTGCCAAGGGCAAAAAAGAAAAAAATTGAACATGTTTCAGGGACTTATGTGCTTGAAACCGAAAAGGCTTGGTGCACACAAGGAAGTGGATCAAGTTAATACTGCCACTTGTTGTGTGAGGTGACCAAAGAGGCATGCTGATATGGGATGCAGCCAGCACTCACTGTGCCAAAGACATGAAGCGTTTCCTAGCACAAAAAACAGTGAATCAAATAATGATCCCAGCAGGAATGATGGCACATTTCCAAACCCAAGACATTGCAGTAAACAAACCATTCAAGGAAAAATCTGCAGGTACAAATCAATGACTACATTGAGAATCGCATGGAGAGAAACCAATGAGGAAACTTTGTGAAGCCTAGCCTGGCAGAGGTTGTGAGTTGGGTGAAGAAGGCACCCACTGACACCTGTGTTGCCAATGCACTATGAGCAGGATACATGGACAAGAGATACTTCTTTAAGGAGACCTCTATTGCTAAACATCAGCAATTGGGACCAATTCTTTTACAGGCAATGGAATCACAAGAGATTCCAGGCGGAATTCAGGCTTTGGAGTGTTATGACGATGTCCCAGAAGAAGATGACATAACTGTTTTTGAATAAATTGTTCCTACGTATGTTTGCAAAAATTGTTCCTGTGTTTGAATAAATTGTTCCTGTATTTGAATAAATGGCATGGTTTATTTATTTTTATTAAAATGGTGGATTTTTAATAAATTGGGGTGTTGCTTTGTGGTTCCCCTGGGGGTGGTGGCTGGGATTTGGCATGCAGTTGGTAAATTACAAAAGGGTTTATCATTAAGATCTGCTTTGTGATCAAAGGCAATGTGAAATGAGCGCAGGGAGGGAAGAAGTAGCAGCTTGTGCTTAACAGAGTTTCTGAAACTCAAGGCCCTGCTCTTCCACCACTTCTCTTTTGTTGGTGCAATTTAACTGGGGGGGGGGTTGTCCCAAGACCCTTTGAGTTTATTTATTCATTTACATTTCCCCAAGGGGCTTTTGGGGGGGGGTGTTTCTTCCTTTCAACACAGCCATCATCTCTCCCGGGCCCAGCAAGACGCCGTCCTCCCCACTGGAGGGAGTTGGGGGTTCAGGGAAGTGTCCAGTTAATCATTAAAGCAACCTGAAAGGCCACCCTTTGGGTCCACCAGGATGATCTTAACCCAGCTCAGCCAAAAAACCCAGGAGCTCCTCTATTCTGCCCCCTCCCTGCCCCCCCAGTGCCTGCTCTGCTCAAGTCAGAGATGGGGGGGGGGAGGAAACAAGCCTTGGATTCCCAGAGCGCACCTGGGAGTGGGCTTGTCTAGGATGGAAACTAAGCAGGGTTGGAGCTGGGATGGAGTCCCCAGGAGAGGATTTCCAAGGTTGCAGAGAGAAATTTAAAAGAGTGGGACAGGAGAAGACAAAAGCTTCTTTAGTGACCCTCCTGCAATCCAAAATGGTTGCAGTGGGAAATCAAGGTGGGTGGGTGGGGGAATAGGGCTATCTGAGGGGACGAAGAAGAGCGGCTGGTTCAGGAAGCAGAAATGCAGCGGGAATCTTGGGGTCGTCTGATATTTATTCTGACAACAGCATATGTACATTGCATTGAGTTTGCAGTTGGGAACTTGATGCATAGGCACGCCTCGCCCCAAAGTGGCTGGGGACTCTGCCTTCAAGGAAGCTTTCGTTGGCCAATAGAAGTGGCTTCGCGGCGAGGGAAGTGTGTGTGTGCACTCGCTCCGAGGCTGCTTCTACTGGCCGATCGAAGTGGCTGGTGACTGCCCTTGGGGAGCTTCCATCGCCCGAAAAACACTGCCTAATGGTGAGGGGACCCGGGCAGCCATCCCTTTACCCAAAGCGGCTGGGGATTCTGCCTTTGGGAAGCTTTCGTCGGCCGATAGAAACGGCCTTGTGGATATGGGCCGCTCTAGGTGGGGGAGGAAATTAAGTCATCCCCGAAAAAATAGCCTAGCTGTTCTTTCGGAGGTAAAATAAAATAAGGCCTGGCCTTATTTTGTGAGAAACACGGTAGCATCTTGTAACACACAGACACCAAACAGATTTGGGACACACATGAGCACAGACGCTCACATAACCCTTTTCCTATCAACTGTACAAGATGGTATTTAAATTACAATGTTTAGGATTCAAGAGAAAGAATAGCGCATCAAGAGCCACGATAGTCATCCTTTTCTCTTGTATCCATCCCAAATTTCATGCTTTGGCTTAATTTGGATTGAGACTAGAAATAAAATATCATTTTTACCCTATTCCAATCGTAGGCAAACATGGTGCTTTCTTCTCAATCTGATATGTCTAAAGGTGGTATTTTATGAGTTTCTCAACTTACCTTGTTGTGGTGGTATGCTTCTTGGTATATGGTGTGATAACTTGGAAGAGCAATTCCATCGCTCCATTAATGCCCAACATAGTTCCTACTGTAACTGCAATGAATGACAGAGAGGAAAAAAACAGACTCAGAACGTGGAATTTGGGAAAAGATCCTTGTAGACACAATAGAAAGAAATTGTCTGCAATTGCCTTTTTTTATTCTCTTCAAAATCTTCCCTAACAAGTAAATGTAAAAAGCATCTTTATTAGCTTAACATGCCTACTCATCTTATCCATTGCTCCATCCCTCAAACCATGAATGTTCAGATTGTATTTTAATTTCAAAGATGGCAGAAATACTGTCAAGCAGGAAATCTAGGTTGGACCGACATGAACAAAGAGGCAGAGTTCAATTCTGAGTCACACGTTTATTCAGAGCGAGATAAAGGTGAATTCTTCCATAAAGTGGAAGAACCCCAAACAATTTATTCAGCATCCTTTTATCCTGAGTTTGGTTGCACAGGCTGGAACATCCATTTGCATCAAAGTAGATAAAAAACAGAAGTTGCTGCAACATAATTCCTTACCAAGCATATTTAGAAAGAAACGAATTTAGCAAACCCATTGCCCCTATTTGTAGTTTCCTATCAGCTTCTCCTGAGATCTGGACAGTTAATATTACAGGTAATCCTTGATTTATAACATATCATTTAGTGACTGTTCAGTTACAACATCATTGAAAAAAGGCCATTTTTCACATTTACGACCATTGCAGCATCATGATCAAAATTCAGACAGTTGGCAACTGACTCATATTTATGATGGTTGAAGTGTCCTAGGGTCATGTGCAGAGGTGGTATTCAGCAGGTTCTGACCAGTTCTGGAGAACTGGTAGCGGAAATTTTGAGTAGTTCAGAGAACCGGCAAATCCCACCTCTGACTGGAGATTTTATAGTATCCTTCCCCTGCCACGCCCACCAAGCTACACCCACAGAACTAGTAGTAAAAGAAATGAATCCCACCCCTGGTCATGTGATCACTTTGTGTGACCTTCTGATAAGCAAAGACAATGGGGAAACCAGATTCACTTAACTACCATGTTACTAATACCTGCAGTGATTCACTTAACAACTGGGCAAAAGAGGTCATAAAATGTGGACAAACTCACTTAAAAATGTCTCGCTTAGCAACATAAATCTTGGGCTGTACTATGGTTGTAAGTCAAGGACTATCTGTATTACAACTCATTTATTCCCCTTTAATTCAGTCATTTTAGTACAAGAATCTTGAACATTATAGTCCTGATCAACAATACGAAGGTGCATTATCCAACACCAAGACTAAGGACTCAGCCCAGATGGTGGTTACCATTACACTAGTTCTAGCCATAGCAGGACAGGGTGGGCAACACTGACAGGTAAAGGGCCAACTAACTCATGGTCTGTCAAAGATTTTAATACTGAGCCATACATCTAGCTCAAAATCGTGGGGGGGCGGGTGTCACACAGCTGAAAGAGACCATTTAGTCTTGAGCACTTGCTCAACAAAGGAATCAAATTAACGCATTCTAGACAGATAGTTGTCTAATTTCCACTTAAAGAGATCCAATGAACGGGAACCTACCACTTCTTTGGATAATTGGTTCCACTCTTGAACTGCTCTGGCTGTCAAGATTTTTTTTCTCCAGCATTCAATAGACATGTTCTTCTAACTTGAATCTATTATTCTGTGTCATGCTCTCTGGAGCAAGAGAGGACACTTCTTTCTATGAGATATCCTTTCAGGTAGGTAAAGAATGTTAGCAGACCCTTTTCAATCACCTTTTCTTAAAGTTAAATGCACCTAAAATATATGTAAAGTCTCTAATGCTAAGAAAGATGGAAGGAAAGAGAAGATGAATGGAATGGAATGGAATGGAATGGAATGGAATAGAATAGAATAGAATAGAATAGAATAGAATAGAATAGAATAGAATTCTTTTATTGGCCAAATGTGATTGGACACACAAGGAATTTGTCTTGGTGATTATGATCTCAGTGTACAAAAAAGAAAAGATATATTTGTCAAGAGTCAAGAATCATCAGGTACAACACTTAATAATAGTCATAGGGTACAATAAGCAATCAAATCATACTAGGAAACAGTCAATAAAAATTGTTAACAGCAGTAGAAGGATTTGCTGAAGCTGTAAATTGGAGGCTTCCTGATAGAAAGTTATACCAGAAAGTGCACACTAAAACAGGACCTTGGATCACCACAAAAACATAAAACATATACATGTCTTTTAATTATTTAATACTAAAATATTTAGTGAAAAGTACAAATCATTTTCAAATGAACGCATTTAGTGATTAAATAATTTTTACTTGGCTGGCTTGACCTCAGGCTGGTGCTTTCAGCTTCATACTTGTGCGAGCAAAGCATGATCGAAGCTGCCGTCTCTCTATAAATACTGGTGGGGAGGTGTGGTGTGCTGGCTCTATTGTAAGTGGGCTGGTTGGCTGTGTTGTTATTTCTTGATTGGTTGATGTTTGCAGATTGGTTGGCTTTTTCATAAGAACCTGTGTGGCTGAGGTGCTGACTGTATGTCTATCAGCCTCCTGTGTTGTAACAACCTGGGTGATGACCTTCTGAGTTTTATTGTTGTGACCTCCTGGGTCTTGTGCTGTAATCTCCTGGGTCTTTGGCTGTGTTGTAACATCTTGAGGTTTTGTGGTGTAACCTCCTGAGTTCTGTGATGTGATATCCTGAGCGGGTGGCTGTGATGTAACATTCCAGGTTTTGGTTTGGCTCTGAGTTTGAGGTCTGGTTATGTGTTCATGGCATGTGTCAGTTTGCTTGGTTTGGGGGAGGTGGGAGGTATCATCCCGTTTATTCATGTTATGGGGGTGTTTCTCTATTTCGATGGCTTCCCTGATTATTCTCTTGTTGAAGTGTTCAGTATTCGAGATTAATTTGGTACCCTCTAAATGAATGTCATGTCCTGTGGCTTTAAGGTGCTGGAAAAGGGAGGAAGTATTTTCTTATTTTCTGACTGCATTCTTGTGTTCTGCGATGCATGCATTTATTCCCCTGTTGGTTTGTCCAATGTATGTGGCTGGGCAATTGTTGCATGGTATTTCATAAACTCCTTGGTTTTCTAGCTGGATCTTGTCCTTGGGGTTTCTTAGGATGTTGGCTATTTTTTGGTCAGTGCTGAAGGCTGTCCTGATACTGTGTTTGTGGAGAATTTTGCTGATTTTGTCTGTGGTGCCTTTGATGTAGGGGAGGAAGGCGATACCGTTGTCCTGTTCTGTGTCTCGGTTGTTTGGGGGTATCTCCCTTAGGATTATGTTGGTAATTGTGTTTCTTTGGAATCCTTTGGAAATTAATACATTAGTGAGGGTGTGTAATTCTGTTCTCAGGTGGTCTTTGTTGGCTAGGCGTTTGGTTCTGGAGATGAGGGTCTTGGTTTATCTGTGCAGGGTGGTGATGGGATTGTGCGTTTAAGTAGCGTTTGGTGTGTGTTCTCTTCCAGTGGATGGTGTGTCCTAGGGAGCCATTGGGTTTTTTGTAAATTAGGATGTCCAGGAAAGGAAGTTGGTTGTTGGCTTCTGTTTCCATGGTGAGAGGGGTGATCCCATAGGTCCTCCTTCTATCTGTTTGTATCTTTGTCCATTGTGGATGAAGTATGTGTTGGTTAGGCAGTGGTTGGTCAGATCTAGGATGTGCTTAGGAGGGTTGTACTTGTTTTGGATAGCTGTCAAGGCTTCTTTAGTAGGTAATGTGGGTGAAGAGGGATATGACATCGAAGCTCACGAGTAGGTCACTGGTTTGTAGGTTTTGTTTCTTTATTGTTTCTATGAAGTGGAAAGAGTTTTGTACGTGTGAGGTAATGGATTCTGTGTAGGGCTGGAGTTGTTTGGCAAGAAATTTGGCAAGATTCTGTAGAGGTGAGCCTATGGAGCTGACTATGGGTCTGAGTGCTGTTCCTTCTTTGTGTATCTTGGGGACGCCATAGAGCTTAGGGCAGCTGGATGATTTTCCTCTGGGGATGATAATTTGCTGGATCTGTTTACCGATCGGAGAGGCTTTTATTTTGGATTTGGTGGTTTTTTCCAGGTTGGTGGTGGGGCAGATGAGATTCTGCTGAAATGTCGCTATAATAAAAGCACAAATATTAAGATGTGGGAAAATACGTGAAGAACCTAAATACCATATATATATAGATAAATATATACTTGTTTTCTGAGGTTTTCACGGGTATTTGTATGTGGATCTTTGGTTATTCGGGTTTTCTCCCGCGTAAAATTGGAAGTATATTGGCGACGTTTCGACAAAACTCATTCATCATCTTCAGGCTTGTGTCTTCAGCTTTGTGCTTCTTGGAGTAATGTGAGCTTGCAGCTGTTTTTTCTTTTAACTGCCAGTGGGAGTGCGGCTTGACTGGGTGGGGGCTTGGCTGTGTTCTGATTGGGTGGGGGTGTGTTCTCATTGGTTGGGGGCTTGGCTGTGATCTGATTGGTTGGGGGGTTGGCTGTGTTCTGATTGGCTGGGGGTGTGTTCTGTTCAGGTGGGGGCTTGGCTGTGGTCAGGTTAGTCTTAGTTGTCGGGGGATCTGAGCTGATGAGCTGTGATCCTGTTGTTTGGCTTCACATTCGTGGTCGTGCCACATCTTCATGTTGGGTGTCAGTTCGCTTCATGTATGGGTAGGAGGGGTTTGAAGTGGGTAGTGATGCAGCTGCATGCACTACATGCACTAATTCTTCTGTTGGTTTGTCTGATGTATGTGTTGGGGCAGGCAGTGCATGGGATTTCATATATGCCTTGGTTTTCTAATTCGATTCTGTCTTTAGGGTTTCTTAGGATGGTGGATATTTTTCTGTTTGTGCAGAATGCTGTCTTAATGTTGTGCTTTTGGAGGATCTTGCTGATTTTGTCTGTAGTGCCTTTTATATATGGGAGGAGGGCTTTGCCATTCTCTTATTCTCTGTCTTGGATTTTGGTTGGGGTTTGTTTTTGGATTAGGTGGGTAATCTTCTTTCTTTGGAATCCATTGGCTGTTAGTACGTTAGTGAGAGTGTGTAGTTCAGTTTTTAGGTGTTGTTCGTTGGCTAAGCATTTTGTTCTGGAG